ATAAACGTTACTCTAATATTCTTTCGAAATGATTGTTCTGATTAAATTTTCACTTATAATCATTATATTATATATATTAAAGGAAAGAAAGATAATTGACACGTGTCACTCATTGAGACCATCAAGTCTCAATTAACACGTGTCATTTGCTAATTGGTTGATCGTTAATCAGTTAAAATTTTTTGTAAATAGTTAATAAATTATTTACAACTCTCTCCGTCCCACAAAAATAATCTAATTTAATAAAAAATATTGTCCTAAAAAAATAGTCCAGTTTAACAAAAGTCAAAATTCATTGAATTGAAATGACTTAAATATCTAAAAGAGTAGTGATATGAAAAACAAGGTCCACTTCCTTTGATTTTCATTTTTTTTTTAGTTTTTTCTTATTTTTTCAAATGATTATATCTTTTAATACATGAATAATTAAAAAATGTGTTATATATCAAATTAATCTACGTAATGAGATCTTTCCATCAAGATCAATTGTCAATATTTTTTGAGATAAAAATTTTGATCAAATTTAAGTTGTAAAATAAATTCATATGTAGTTAACTTTTATAGAAATAACTAGAAAGGGCATTAGTAGAAGTTAGGGGAATGAAATGAGTTGTACATTTGGTGTGTTGACCAAATTAAAAAAGTTGTACAGTTTCAAACTGAACTAATTTTGTAGGACGGAGTATATAAGATTTTTACAAATATTACAAATTCCTGATTGTGCGCTTGAAAATGAATATTTTTAAAAATAACTGAAAAACTCCCAACTTCAGAAGTCCTTTCATTTATGAGTTTACACTTTCAAACTATTGTCATTTTGGCCCTTAAAGTTCCATTTGTGTGCTATTTAGTTTTCAAGTTTATCGATTTTACATTTTTAAGGACGATTAATTATGTCTCGTATTTTATTAGAACTACCTCTAATCCCCAAATTCCACTTGCCTATAAAAATAGGCCATATGCATCTAGACATAATTTACGCATTTTTTAAATATATTTTTTAAACCAAACATAACATTAGTTAGTGGTGACAATTTTTATTATACAACTTTTGAAAATATTTGTTGTAATATTTTTTTACCAGATCTTACAAATATACCTCTCATAAATAATATCAATACCTCTCATTTTGATCTAAAACTGATTAATCAAAAAATATTATAGTTTTAAGAAATATTAGTAACTACATTTTTTTTAAGAGAATAAGGATGGTACATTTGTAACTATATTATCTAATCAATTCTTTTGAAATATAAATTTTTAACATTGACAAAACCGTGCAAAGCGCGGGACACACACTAGTTAATATAATTTTATACTGATAAAGTAAAAAAATTTAAACTGTACAATCATTATTTAAAGATAAAATGAATGTTATATATTTTCAAAGTCGTCTTCCTTTTCATTTAGAAGATTCAGAGCCTTTAAATAATCAAGTTCCAACAGTTCAAACGTGTTTTGCTTTCAGTTGGTTTCCTTTTGCTTTTTTCCATTGTGTGTGTGTGTGTGTTTTTCCCCTTTCTTGTCTTCTCATTTTGCAAATAATTAAGCTTCTTTAATGAAATGGTGGGGCCTTCAAATGTTGTTGAGCTTTTGTTGTCTCTTTGACGATATTAATTAATTTAGCTTTGTGGGATTATCCCAACTATAGCATGTAGTCAATAAAACGACAAATCTCTTAGATATATAAAAGGAATTTCAATTCGGAGATACATATCGCTCAATTAGGATACTAATAGTTCCACAGTAAATTTTAATAGTAACATGGTTAATATATTATTACATTTACTTTGCACTTTTAAACGAATGATATTTTTTTTACTTATTAATTTTATTATTTAATATTTAATATTTTTCTTAAGACGGTAATAAGAATAATATCGGGACAATAATTTAGACGGTGATCGTCCGGTTTTAATCCAGCAACAATGTTCGTTGGCCGATGCCGCAACAAAATAAAAAACGCTAGCAACATGTCTTTAGAAGCTACCTGTAATGCTACGGTATCAGTTTATTCTACAATTGTATTTATTAATTAGTTACAATCAAATTAAGTTAGTTTTAGAGTCATGGATTAGTGAGTTGTTAGTAAAAGATTAGTTTTATCAATAGTGTCTAGAGTCATGGTCTTAGCGGGGAGTTATCTTTCCCTACTTTTTAGTAGTTGATTTGTCTACATATATGTGACTCCAATCCTATTAGGGGAAGAAGAAAAATTAATGGAAAATGGCTTTTTAGCCAAAACTCTACCTCTCTTTATTTTCTGGAATTTGATCGGACTCGAATAGGATCGTTACATTACTACTATCCAAATTCATCAGATTTGATTTCTGAATCAACAACACTGACATGTTGATTAACGGAGCGACACAAGTATTGACGAAGCTTGGTTTCGTGCCGCCGGTCTAACGGTGGAACTCCGGCTAGGGTTTCCGGCAAAATAGGGCCTCGGAGTCTCCCGAGGATAGACACTCCGATACTTAAGTCAATAAAGGGTTGCTGGGAGGTTTAGGTATGTAGTATGTTAAGCTATATATTGTGTACATGTATTGTGGTGTGAATAGCCCTATTTATAGGTATCAGAATACCTGAAAAATCCCTGAATCCTATTAGGTTTCGGGAACCTAAACCGCCTCAAGAGTCCTGGTTGGACTCTCCTTTCGGTTGATGGGCCGGTCCAGTCTCGATGATGGATATGGACTCGTCAAGTGCCCCTGTCAAGTGTTAGTTATATAAGATAAACAACGCTTGGCACAAAGTTACCTGGGACAAACCCGAGAGTGGATAGGCTACTCTCGCTTAGCTAGTTGTCGAGCAACACGTCAAGTAGCCTCGACTCAAACGCACAACTCTCAATCTTGGAAGCCCGAGGGTAACCAGCGGGTTAGGTCTTGACCCGGGAATGTGACCCGTTTCCTTGTCCCGCCCAAAATTTCAATCGCGCGTCATTAGTGGGCACATTTCCCAAACGGCGGCTTCACCATCATTACTTCCTTGAAATTTGCATTAACTGTCATATCGTGGGCTGTAATTAGGGAGGCGTGGGAGAATAATTTTTATTTTTAAGGAGAAGGCTCTATCATTCCCCTTTCACTTATCACTTTTCCTTCTTCACAGAAACTAAAGCTCTCCTCTCCATCAGAGTGTTCTGACTGCCTTCACCGGAATATTCAATCCTTCACCAACATATTGCCCCAGCGATGTTATCACCAGGGGATTTGCTATCAGGAGCTTGGAAGAACACTGGGAAGCTACAACTCAAAAAGCGAGTGGTCACATCCTCCTCCAACAGTAAGTTTTCAGATCTGACTACCCCCGATTTCATTCAAAGTTTTTGTCTTTTCCAACTGTAGCCAGGGTAGATTTGTAACGGAATCATGGTTAGGGATTTGGAAGGAAAAACTGTTGATGACTTCGCTTCCACCATAGATTCTGTTGATAAGGTAGAGAACCTTAGATCAAAATATGAACTTCCTTCAGATCTAGAGGCGAGAGCTTCGTTAGGAAATGAGAGGGCCAACTCTCTTCCTGAGGGAAGAATTACTGTGTATGACCAACTCATGCATCTAGGGCTTAGATTCCCCCTCTTCCCTATGTTCGAGGAGATTGTGCAACACTATAGGATTCCCCTTGCTCATTTCACCCCAAATTTAATAACTTTTGTGCTGAGATTTGCAAAAGCATGCCAACATGTAAAATTAAAACCTCGGTTGATACTGTGGAGGTATTTCTTCCAAGTAGTTGTGGCCTCGACCTCTTTCCAAGACTGGTATATTGTGAAGAGGTGCCTTAGATCCGGTGTTAAAAAGATGGTCGAGGCATATGGCGGCTCTCCTGAATGGAAGCCGGACTTCTTGTTTGTAAGGGCATCCGAGAACTATTGCCTGTCGTGGAATCATCGAGAAATGGAGGGTCTTGGAGCCATAAAGGATGAGTGGACCTAAGAAGACGAAAAGTGCATCGAGGAGCTTAATGCAGATGTGGAGAAGATCGTGAAATATTCTAAGGTCGTTAAATGGAACGACATACAATATTACGTACCTCCTGTGTCCACCGAGAAGAATGACAATGCTAATGTCGAGACCTCAACCAGAATCCTTCTCGAAACCTCTGTTGGAGAAAACCAAGGTACTAATCATTTCCGTTTCTCTTGTCTGTTCTTAGGTCACGTCGTCAAGCAACGCTGGTTCTCGATTGTTTGGTGATGAAAATCCTCCGGCCACCAGCACAGTTTAGGAGATGATACTCCCCTGGCCAAATTCCAATGCCGGCAAGAAAAAAGAAAGACAGGAAAAAGCCACGGCGGAGAACCTGGGAAAGAACTGACAAAGGAGCGTTTGGTTCTTGGCGCTTCTCAGCCCGATCCAAAGAAACAAAACACCAATCTTCCACCTGAAAAAGAGGATATACCTCCTCCTCGAAATACCCCCGCTGCTACCAAGCGTTTGGAAGACCAGAAACTAGCCAAAATCGAGGCTGAACTCAAGAAGCTAGGCGATGATAGCGATCAACAACAGAGGATGCGGAGATATTTTCTCGAAGAAACTAGGTGGCGTTGTCTCCTTGGACAACTCGATCCTACAGAACAAGAGTTAGAGGATTTGATTGACGAAAAAGAAGCTCGCAGAACCCTAGCCCTTCTCGAGAAGAAACGAGGCAAGCGGAAAGTCTAAGAGCTGGAGAATTACCAAGAAACTGAAGGGTACGAAAGCCCCCACGAAGAACGCTCGCATGCTACCAGAGATACCATATTCTGGAACGCTTTCAGAGAAAGATACCCAGCCTTCGACACCGCTCTTGAGGAATTTGACGCAATATACCAACGAAGGGGCGCCGAAGAGAATCCCGACCCCCGAGCGTCGAGATCCTCGAAGGAGAACATGGGAAGCCCCCAAGGAGAACCAAGGCACATAATCGCTTAGAATTCAATTGGAATCGAAGAAGCCCTCGAAGAGGTGAGTACAGACATGACTACGAACCACATCGAGGCCACAACAACATCAAGGGCAACTATGACCAAGAATATCATCACCGTCCTCGATACTCACCTCCAAGACTGCAGCAACATAATTGGCATAGGGAAAATCCTCCCTATTTCCAGGGAGATCAGTAAGGAACAAGAGACAAGAATATCTTGATCCGAGAGGAAATGAGAAAGATCATCGGGATAGGGCTAGACCGGAGCCCCTTCATCCCCAGCATTCGAGATGAACCTAAGCCCCGAGACTTCGACTTCCCTAAAGAATTCAAGCCATATTCAGGAGATACCGATGTCTCCCAATGGTTGCAAGGGTATGTCCAAGTCATGAGCATCCGAAACGCAACCATGAACTTCATGGCAAAGGCTTTATCCTCCTACTTATCCGGGTCAGAACAGCGATGGTTTGGGCAGTTACCGGAACGAAGCGTCACTAGCATTGAAGATTTGTCCGTCAAACTAGCTAATTGATTCTTCCAAAACAAACGGATATCGCGGATGTCTGATATGCTTATATTTTACCTATTTATTATATCCCTAATTTGTAATTTTTGCAATATATTTTGAGTACAAATATGCTATTTATGTGATTTTATCTTTAATTGTAGGAATTGTACTCAAATGAAGAATTGTTGAAGTTTTGAGCTAAAATCGAATTAAAAGCAACTCAATGGGAAAGAATTGAACATTGGAGCAATTGATGGGGAAAGAATTAATGAGTTTAGAGAATTGGAGGGCCAATCATGCAATTTTGCAATTTGATTCTAATTTTTGGAAAATTGGCCGAAGGTTACGTTGGTTATGCGGCCGATTTGGGATTGGAATTGGATAAGAATTTTAATCCCGATATTAATTGGGAAACAAGTTTTCTTGTTCTTCAAGGAGTAGGGTTTAGCCGGAAGCCTATAAAAGGAGGATTAGGGATTTATTTTTACAACAGAACTGAACCGAAACTTGACCGAAAACCACCGAACTCCCTCCTCTTTCAGCCGGCCATCACCTTCTTCCTCCATCATCCACGCGAAGCAGCCGGCCACCATCTTCACCACCGCTTTGCTTCCATAACCACCACCTTGATTTCCATCATCTTCCTCCTTCATCCCACCGCCGAAACCGCAACACCTTGCTTCCTCTTCTCCAACTCCACGAGGCAGCCACGCACTAGCCTTTCTTCCTCCTCCATCACCGCCGCGCAGCACCCTGCTCCATTGCCTTCACGCACAAGCAGCAGCTTCTCCTCTTCTCCACAGCCGAGCACCACCTCTGCCTCTTCACCGGCGAGCAACGCAGCAACCGTCGGCGGGATTTGGCGTCATTCGGTTTTGAAGTTTCAAATTATTTAATTTATTTTTTTTTCTTTTATTATGTCTCTAAATATTATTGAATTATTTTTAATAATGTTTAGTGGCTAAATTCTTTTAATCTAGGGCTTGGGTGTAGCCACCGAATTTATTTGGTTTATTTGGTTTATTTTTATTTGATTTTTCCATTAATTAATATTTGTTATTCTTGTTTTAATTCGTGTAAGTAATTGGCCACTATTTACATGTCTGAAGGTATTAATCGAAGTAGCGAGAGTGGAAGATTAATATTAGTTCGTAGGAATAATAAACTTAGGTTATAAGCTACGAGAGTAAGATTATAACCTTTGCAATATTTAATTCTTAATGGTCTTAATGTGCTTTTGTTAATCCCTATAGTCACGAGAGTAGTCATAGGGTTAATATAAGTAAGAGAATTATAACACGAGAGTGTATAGTTCTTAATTAGGTGAATCGTTGTGAGATTAATGGAAGTTAAAAGTCAGATACTTATGAACTGAACTAATCCAAATATTCGGTAGGTGAACCCAATGTCTTAGGTTTTCTTGGTTTGATTATTTGAATTAATATTATTTGCCTTTATTTCATTTATTTATTTTAGTTTTAAATTTTAGTAACCTGAGATCATCATTTATCTAGATAATAATAGGAGTAATTTATACCTGGTAATTAGTATTCCTTCTCTGTGGGATCGACCCTGCTTTCTGCTTTACTACTAGTAATTGTATTAAGTAGGTAATTATTATTTGACTAGTGTGACGACGGCTTGTCAAATTTGGCGCCGTTGCCGGGGAAGGCAGCTAATATCGAATTTAGATTACTTTCTTTTATTAGTTTAGATTTGTTTTTATTTTATTTATTTTATTGTCTTACTATTTTAGTGATTTCTTTTAAATATTTTTTTATTTTTATATGCGAAGGGCTAATTCTGAGACTTTGCAATTTGATCCAGAGATAGAAAGAACAGCTCGTGCGAACAGAAAGGAAGCAAAACTAAGAAAAGAGCAAAATCAGAGTGAAACCATGGGCGACAGAGTAAACACTCGGACACTGAGGGATTACTTTACACCTATGGAGAATGTTGCTAGGTCAAGTATTACTAGGCCTACCATTGCTGCGAATACCTTTGAGCTCAAGCCAGCATTGATCCAGATGGTGCAGCAGAATCAATTCTCCGGTTTTAACAATGAGGATCCGAATGTGCATATTGATAACTTTTTGGAGATCTGTGATACTGTTAAGATAAATGGTGTAATGTCAGATGCAATCCGGCTGAGACTTTTCCCTTTTTCATTGAGGGGAGAAGCGAAGAATTGGTTGAATACTTGCGATCCTGGTTCCATCACAACTTGGGATGAACTGTACAAGGAATTCCTGATCAATTTCTTCCCACCACATAAGGCAGCGAAATTGAGAAATCAAATTACTGGGTTTATTCAAGAAGATGATGCGACATTTCATGCTGCATGGACAAGATTCAAGGAATTGCAAAGAAAATATCCTCACCATGGTATTGAGAAAAGTACTCTAGTTCAGACTTTCTATCAAGGATTGACAGACTTTGCAAGAAACAATGTGGATGCTGCAGATGGAGGTTCATTAATGGATAAGTCAATTGATGATGCCTATGAATTGTTTCAAATTATGGCAAAGAATAGGAATCAATGGTCGAACTCGAGAAGTGTTTCCAAGAAGCTCGCTGGAATGTATGAAGTCAATGAGCTTAGTGCCATGAACGCAAAGATAGATGCACCGACCAAGGCGATGGGTAATCTTGTAAATGCTAATGCGATCTTCCGTGCCACCGTCTGTGAGTTCGTGGAGGTCCTCATTTGAGTTCGAATGTATGCAATCGGCAAGTGCACAATATGTCTCTAATTTCAGCAAGCCTCAGCAGCAGAACAATCCATACTCCAATACTTACAACCCTGGTTGGCGAAATCATCCAAACTTTTCTTGGAATAATCAAGGGGCTCAAGACTTTAATGCAAGACCTCAAAACCCTCCTGGTTTCCAAGCAAAGTCACACCAATCCGCGCCTAAGACAGCTGCGGAGGAAAGTTTGGAGAGAATGGAAAAATTGTTGAGTGAAAGCACTGAACGGTTTAACAGAATCGAATCAAGGTTAGATCAATTGACTACTGCTCATAGAACCTTGGAGATGCAAGTGAGTCAAATGGCCTCCGCCATGAATACTCGTGGGCAAGGTCAACTGCCAAGCAAGTTTGAAATCAACCCTCGTGAAAATTGTAGTGCTATCATGTTGAGAAGTGGGAAGCAGTTGGGTGACAAAGAGGAACCAAAGACCACTGAAGTGAATGTGACCACTGATGAGAAGAAAGTAGAGAGTAAGCAGATTAATGAAGGAAAAGTGGAGAAAGTGGAACAAGAGGAAGAAAAGATATATGTGCCACCACCGCTTAAACCTTATGTTCCACCAGTGCCTTTTCCGCAGAGACTCCATATGACCAAGCAAGATAGGTTGTTTGAGAAATTTTTGAAAATTTTTAGGCAATTGCATATTAACATTCCTTTTGCGATGCTTTAGCTCGATTCCAGCGTATGGAAAGTTCTTGAAGGAGATCATCTCCAACCGAAGAAAAGTGAAAGACTTTGAGACAATTGCATTATCTGAGGAGTGTAGTGCTGTCATTCAGAGAAAGTTGCCTCCAAAATTGACTGATCCAGGGAGTTTTTCTATTCCTATCTCTATGGGTGATGTTTGTTTTAATAAAGCTTTATGTGATTTAGGTGCTAGTGTTTCATTGATGCCTTTATCTGTTTGTAGAAAGCTTGGGTTGAAACATTTGAAACCAACTAACATCACTTTGCAATTAGCTGATAGGTCCATAACTCATCCGAAAGGGATTTTGGAAAATGTGCTGGTAAAAGTGAAGAAATTTTATATCCCTGTTGATTTTGTTGTGTTAGATATGGAAGAAGATGCTAATGTGCCAATTATTTTAGGTCGACCATTTCTAGCCACAGCTGGTGCTGTTATAGATGTTAAAAAAGGGAGTTTAAAATTTCATATTGGAGAAGAATCTGTGGAGTTCACTTTTTCTGAAAATTACAAATGCCCTGCCTTTACTCATCATGTGTTTAGATTAGATTCTGTTAAGGAGCCAGATGAAAGTGATGTGTTTATTGCTAATTTTAAAGATCCTCCTGACATATGTATCCGTGATGTAGGCACAGATAGAAATGGCAGAAGAATGATGTATCAAAGGGGTTCCCACTCTTTGATTGAGCGTCCACCTGATTGATCAGCCAGATAGTCCGGCTCATGACTTTAAAGAAGCGCTTATTGGGAGGCAACCCAATTCTTTATTTTGCTTTATTTTTCTTTTTCTTTCATTAATAAGTTGATGGTTAAGTTTTTTGTTCCTGATTATCTGGAGATCTTTGATTTCTGGATTTTCGTGGTTTTTCTTAATCATCTGTATTTAGGGTTGATTTTTTTTAATTTCCCTTAGTTTGCAATTAGGTTTGTTGGAAGGGCAAAACTCTGGTGTCCAATGGTGCTGAAAATGAAACATCCAAAATTCTGAAGAAGTTGGTCGTGTGCTTGAATGGTAGTTGCAACAATTTATTCAACAATTCCGGTCCTCCGCTTCACATTCCCAAGGTTGTGTCGTTTCTTTTCATTCTTTTTGTTTATGTCTTTTCTTTTCTTTACACTTGGTTGTGTGTCTTTTGTGTTTTATACATTGAGGGCAATGTATACTTTAAGTGTGGGGGAGAGGAATATTTGTGTTTTGTGTTTATCTTTCTTAAATAAAAAAACCCATAAAAATTGAAAAATTGAAAAATCCAAAAAGGCCTATGATGAAGTTGGTTTGATTATCTATAACATGTAAGAATTAGGCTATTTTGAATTGTATTGCTTAACTTATGTATTTCTATATTGCTTTGAATACCCTGCTTTTTATGCACTTAGTCGTGACTATGGGATAAGCCTAAAGTGAGATATAGTTGCATAAGTTTGATGTAGATATGCCATGAAAGTTGTGTTTGATTCACTCATACTTATATGATTTGTATGTGGAACCCATCATGTTGTGAAGGAAAAGCAAGGCATTAACCCAATATCAGCCTTAAAAAACCTTATTGCTTTGACACTTTGTGTTAAGTAAGTTTGGGGGAGGGGTGTTGGCGGATGCTTCTGAGGTTAGGTTAATTTTAATGAGGGAGAAAAGGAAGAGCATTCAATGTTGATGCTAGCCCCTTGAGAGGTGAGGAATTGGCAACCTGAGCGGAGAGTCCTCAGGCCCGGTGAGGAAAATAGATGTCTAGACTGCCCTAAGTTGCTGAGCCACTATGTATAGGAGTGGAAAAATGCTCTGGGTAGTGGCCTGAGTTGGAAAGAGTCCTGAAGAAAAGCCGCATGGACCGAAGAATGGGTTACGAGGGGGAATAGGTTGTCTGTGAGATAAGTCCTTCTACTTCATAGTATGATTGGCGGTCCATTGCATTGAAATGTGGTATGAAATGTGAGTCTGTTGTTAAAATGGCATATTTGCAGTAGAGCTTTTGTTTTCTATGTTGAATATAAAGTGATGTCCCTAAGAAACGATGCACACACACAAGCATAGGGCTAAAAGTAGCTATGATTTGCATTGTTAGGTAGTCCATACTAGAGGTAGTCGAAATCTTTGTGTTATATGATGTGATTGAATCTCTGAGGCCGCCAAATTAAATAATTAATGCTTTTGTTTGTTTTAATTTTTTGGGATTGCTTGAGGACAAGCAATAATTCAAGTTTGGGGGTATTTGATATGCTTATATTTTACCTATTTATTATATCCCTAATTTGTAATTTTTGCAATATATTTTGAGTACAAATATGCTATTTATGTGATTTTATCTTTAATTGTAGGAATTGTACTCAAATGAAGAATTGTTGAAGTTTTGAGCTAAAATCGAATTAAAAGCAACTCAATGGGAAAGAATTGAACATTGGAGCAATTGATGGGGAAAGAATTAATGAGTTTAGAGAATTGGAGGGCCAATCATGCAATTTTGCAATTTGATTCTAATTTTTGGAAAATTGGCCGAAGGTTACGTTGGTTATGCGGCCGATTTGGGATTGGAATTGGATAAGAATTTTAATCCCGATATTAATTGGGAAACAAGTTTTCTTGTTCTTCAAGGAGTAGGGTTTAGCCGGAAGCCTATAAAAGGAGGATTAGGGATTTATTTTTACAACAGAACTGAACCGAAACTTGACCGAAAACCACCGAACTCCCTCCTCTTTCAGCCGGCCATCACCTTCTTCCTCCATCATCCACGCGAAGCAGCCGGCCACCATCTTCACCGCCGCTTTGCTTCCATAACCACCACCTTGATCTCCATCATCTTCCTCCTTCATCCCACCGCCGAAACCGCAACACCTTGCTTCCTCTTCTCCAACTCCACGAGGCAGCCACGCACCAGCCTTTCTTCCTCCTCCATCACCGCCGCGCAGCACCCTGCTCCATTGCCTTCACGCACAAGCAGCAGCTTCTCCTCTTCTCCACAGCCGAGCACCACCTCTGCCTCTTCACCGGCGAGCCACGCAGCAACCGTCGGCGGGATTTGGCGTCATTCGGTTTTGAAGTTTCAAATTATTTAATTTATTTTTTTTTCTTTTATTATGTCTCTAAATATTATTGAATTATTTTTAATAATGTTTAGTGGCTAAATTCTTTTAATCTAGGGCTTGGGTGTAGCCACCGAATTTATTTGGTTTATTTGGTTTATTTTTATTTGATTTTTCCATTAATTAATATTTGTTATTCTTGTTTTAATTCGTGTAAGTAATTGGCCACTATTTACATGTCTGAAGGTATTAATCAAGTAGCGAGAGTGGAAGATTAATATTAGTTCGTAGGAATAATAAACTTAGGTTATAAGCTACGAGAGTAAGATTATAACCTTTGCAATATTTAATTCTTAATGGTCTTAATGTGCTTTTGTTAATCCCTATAGTCACGAGAGTAGTCATAGGGTTAATATAAGTAAGAGAATTATAACACGAGAGTGTATAGTTCTTAATTAGGTGAATCGTTGTGAGATTAATGGAAGTTAAAAGTCAGATACTTATGAACTGAACTAATCCAAATATTCGGTAGGTGAACCCAATGTCCTAAGTTTTCTTGGTTTGATTATTTGAATTAATATTATTTGCCTTTATTTCATTTATTTATTTTAGTTTTAAATTTTAGTAACCTGAGATCATCATTTATCTAGATAATAATAGGAGTAATTTATACCTGGTAATTAGTATTCCTTCTCTGTGGGATCGACCCTGCTTTCTGCTTTACTACTAGTAATTGTATTAAGTAGGTAATTATTATTTGACTAGTGTGACGACGGCTTGTCAAATTTGGCGCCGTTGCCGGGATTCATCCAAGGCCTTAATCCCTTCAGGAAATCCTCAATGTTGTGAGTTAAGCTCTCGACAAAACCCCCTAGGAATGCTCAAGAGATGTGGGCTATTGTCGAGAACCATATACAGTGAGAACACACACTCAAGAGGTCCCAAGAATCCTTCACCTCGGTAGGACCAAACGATAAGCCAAGAATCCCCCAGGAAAGCAAACCGGCACCGCCCAAGATGGATAGGCAATTAACACCCTTGACCAAGCTCCGACGAGAAATCCTCCAAATCCATAGGGATGAATTGCCAGCTCCGAAACCCTTGGCCCCTAATCCAAACAGATCAACCGAATAATACTGTGAGTATCACAAAGATCACGGCCACGACACGGAGGATTATCGAGAGCTCAAGCGTGAGATCGAGAATGGGGTCAAGTCTGGGAAGTTTCAGCAATATGTGCAAGGAACAGCCTCCCGGCAGAAGAATAACAGTCCCCAGTCACGAGATCACCCTAAAAGAAACTTCAGAGGCCCACCACGGTGGGATGGACGAGGAAATAATTGGCAACCGAGAACCAATGCCCAACAACAACACTATCCCATCACTGAAGCAACACCACAGCCATTGCAACAACTCCCCCTGGCGGATCCAACAAAGCTAATCACTCACCAGGTAGGAGCTATTTACGGAGCTCCCCTCGAAGTCTTATCCACGACAGCCATGAAGAACTCATTGCGAACCATCACCAAAACCCCTCGACAAGAGCCTAGCCACAAAAGGTTCAAAGGAACGGAGGCCATTGTATTCACAGATAGCGATGTGGTCCCAGACATTTGTCCCCACAGTGATGCTATGGTCATAGAAGCAATAATCGCAAACGTAAAAGTCGAGAGGGTTTACGTGGATAACGGTAGCACGGTCGACATCATATATAGTGATTGCTTCAAGAAAATGAATATCAAAAACCCTTGCATCTGCCCAGCTACAATGCCACTGATGGGATTCTCAGGTCATACCATTATCCCCACTGGAATAATTAGCCTACCCATCTCAGTAGGGTCACTTCCTAGGACGGTCACCTTAACCATGGATTTCGCCCTAATAGATGCACCCTCGCGTTCAATCTAATTCTAGGGTGACCTTGGATGTACCAGGCATGCGCGATATGGTCTCCCTATCACTTGGTAATGAAATTCCCAACGTAATATGGAGTAGGAGTAGTGAAAGGATGCCAGCGGAGTTCTCAAAAGTACTTGCTCACTGCAGTTAGAATCGGAAAGAAGACCGCACACCTTAATCCAGGGTCCGCCGTGTCAGAATGCTACTCGATTCGACAAACGGTCAACCCACCAGAGGTAGAAAACCCTGAGACATCCGGCCTTCCCTCGTTTAGCAGCAAAACGCGAGAATTAATCCTGAGTGAGACTGATCCCGCCAAGACCGTCCAAATTGGGGTTTCTCTCCAAGACCCCTTGCTAGCCGAGATCAGCGCCTTGCTACGAGAGTTCCAGGACATATTCGCCTGGTCCCCAGCAGACATGACAGGAGTCCCTCGAGAAGTCATGGAACATAGGTTAAATGTTGATCCAAAGGTCAAACCAGTACAATAGAAGAAAAGAGTATTTGCTCGAGAACGTAACGACGTCATCAACGAGGAAACAATGAAACTAGTCCGTGCCAACATACTCCGGGAAGTTTTATGGCCTACTTGGTTAGCCAACCCGGTCTTAGTACGAAAACCCGACAACTCCTGGCGTATGTGCCAAGACTACACCGACCTCAACAAACATTGCCCCAAGGACTGCTACCCTCTAGCAGTCATAGACCAAATGGTGGAGGGTATTGCCGGATACAGAGTCCTCAGCTTCCTTGACGCATACAAGGGATATCATCAAATCCTCATGGCACAGGAAGATGCAGAAAAGACAGCTTACATCACTGAGATGGGGGTATATTGCTACGACAAGATGCCCTTTGGACTGAAAAATGCTGGAGCCACATACCAGCGTCTCGTGAACAGAACCTTTCATGACCAAATCGGCCGGAACATCGAGATTTACGTAGACGACATGGTGATAAAGACCAATAAGGATAAGCAAGTGGCCACAGACATGCGGGAGATTTTCACAACATTACGCAAGACTAACATGAAGCTGAACCCTAAAAAATGCACCTTCTGTGTAGGGTCAGGGAAATTCCTCGGATACCAAGTCTCCAAGGATGGAATAAGTGTTGATCCGGCTAAAATCAAGGCTATCTTAGCCATGGAAGCTCAAAAAACCGTCAAGGAAGTTCAAAAACTTACATGCTCCTTGGCGGCCCTAAACAGGTTTCTGTCTCGAGCCGCAGAAAGAAGCCTTCCATTTTTCCATACCCTCCGCAAAGGCAGAAAATTCGATTGGAATGAAGAATGCCAGAAAGCCTTCCAAGACCTAAAAGAACACCTCAAGCAGTTGCCCACACTAGCCAAGCCTGAGCCAGGAGAAACACTATACATTTACTTGGCAGCTCGAGAGAAAGCTGTCTCGGCGGTTCTCGTGCAGCGCAAAGACGGCAGAGAAGTCCCCGTCTATTTTGTTAGCAAAGTCTTGCAAGGGGCGGAAACCCGTTACCCACCCATGGAAAGGCTTATTCTTAGCCTAGTCTTAGCCGCACGATGTCTGCGCCCATACTTCCAAGCACACCCCATCATGGTATTAACGGAACAACCAATTCAGCAAGTCCTGCTAAAGCCCGAAGCATCCGGCAGGATGATGAAATGGGCAGTCAAATTGGGCGAGCACCATATTGAATACAAGTCTTGATCAGCCATCAAAGGGCAAGCCTTTGCAGATTTTTCAGTAGAACCGCCTCGAGCTATCGAAGTCAAAGAAATGGCGGAGCCTAAAGATAATCCCACTACTCGCGCCCACATCAACCCTCGAGCCTGGTCACTATACGTCGACGGATCTCGTTGCGATGAAAGGGGAGGAGCCGACATCATATTATCCAAACCTCCGACTGATCTCGACATCGAGAACATGAAAGAGTAGGACGCAGAATATACATACGCACTGAGGTTCGGTTTCTCGGTCACCAACAATGTAGTAGAATACGAGGCACTGATAGTAGGGCTGAACATGGTACTAAAACTTGGGGTCCGCAAAATCATAGTGGTGAAACAAATATTGGGAGAATACACGGCAAACGACGAGCAACTCAAGCGCTACCTCGAGAAGGTCCTCGACATCAAGGAAAAACTCGAGGAATGCACTGTGTGCCACATAGTCCGCTCAAAAAACAAAAGAGCCGACGCCTTCAGCAAGCTAGCCTCCTCGAACTTTGCACACCTTAGCCACAAAGTATGGGTCGAAATTCTCCCCAATCCTAGCATCCAGGATGTCCCCGTAGCAACCATCGTCGAGGATGACGACACTTGGATGACCCCTTTTATCCAATACCTTACAGATGGGACGTTGCCGAGTGGAAAAGCAGAAGCCAGAACCCTCCAGTTAAAGGCGGTCAAAAACACATTGTGAGACGGCATCCTATACAAGCATGGATACCTGCTACCCATGCTAAGGTGTATTGGCCCAAAGCAAGCAGCTTACGTACTCGAAGAAATACACGAAGAATCATGTGGAGCTCATATGGGAGCAAGAGCACTCGCCAAGAAGGTCTTGCGGGCAGGATATTTCTGGCCGACAATTTTCAAAGACGCCTACCAATGGGTATAAAAATGTGAGAAGTGTCAGTGCTTCTCTCCCATCACCCGACAGCCACAGCACGAGATGGTCACCATCCAAAGCCCTTGGCCATTCTACCAATGGGGCACTGATATCATCGGCCCTTTTCATCCGGAAGGAATAGTAGGAGTAAGATGGGTCATTGTAGCAGTAGATTACTTCACTAAATGGGTAGAAGCCAAACTCTTGGCCTCGATCACAGGAAGGAAAGTCTTGGATTTTTTCTGGCAGAACATAGTATGCCATTTTGGGATCCCGAAAGTTATTGTCTCCAGCAATGGGACCTAGTTTAAGAGCAATACTTTCAAGTCACAGTGCGATGAAATGCAGATCGAACATCGCTTCTCGAGCGTAGCTCATCCCCAAGCCAATGGGCAGGCCGAATCCATCAACAGAACAATACTACATGGAATCAAGACCAGGTTGTATGATGCCAAGGGGGCATGGGCCGATGAACTTTCTCACGTCCCGTGGTCATACATGACAACTGCCCACTCCTCAACCGACGAGACACCGTATAGCTTAGTCTCCGGTATGGACGCCGTCCTCCCTGTCGAGATTGGCCTGTCGAGTCCTCGAATTATAAACTTCATCGAGAGTACCAATGATGATGACATCCGGCTAAACCTTGACCTGCTCGAGGAACGTTGAGACGCCGTCAGAATCCGAGAGGCCAAATATAAAGAGATTCTTCACAGACATTACAACAAGAAGGTGAAAGCCATGGATCTCACTGTGGGTGATCTCGTACTAAGGAAAAACGAGGCCAGTCGAGTAGAAACCCCTAGAAAACTTACTGCAAATTGGGAAGGGCCTTACAAGGTTATCCAGACTTCCCCAGCAGGCTGCTACCGCCTACAAGCCATGGATGATAGCGGAACCATTCTTCCTCGATGGTGGAACATTCAGAATTTTCGCAGGTTCTATATTTAAGTCTTTGTCCACTATTTGCCCATTATGTGTTTTATTTGCTTTATTTACCCAGTTAGTTTTATACTCTTATATATAATGCTAGCCCGGGTTCTCGGGAAATTATTCAATAAAAGACATTACATATTCTTTTGATTAATAGCAATGCATTCATGACTAGTCATCGAGATGGACTCCCTCTTTAGGGCCATCCTCGTTCAAGAGCCATGTACTCAACATCCGGACAGAAACTCGAGGAACTTTCCTCACGCACATTGCGAAACGCAGTGTCAAGTCAAGGAATTCGTACCCAATTCCTATGATAGAGCCGTGTACTCTACATCCGGCCTAAAAAGCGCTTTAAAAATCAATACTTGAGTAAAATAAACATTCGTTCCACACTACTGTGCGAACTCACAGAAAAGTACATATATTCTACACTATTACAAGCACCTCCCTGACAGGATTGTCGGGGGAGGGATGAATAATCCCCTCATACCCATGCAGGCTAAGGAGATTCACACACTGATTCAATTTTTCCTTAAGGTCCACGATCTCTGTGCCCTGAGCGTGCACCCTTATCAACAGCTCCTCTCGAGAACTCCGAGTTTGAGGATCCACTGTTTCCTCCGGATGCTCGAAAGCCTCAAAGTCGATACTGTTATCCAGCAGAAGATTTGCAGTTGGCAATATAATCTGTAAGAAGTTCGATCTCACGAGACCTCTCTTTCAATATATCCATGGCTGCAATAAAACAGCGAGTCCTGACCATAATCATGTGCTGGACTCGGGCTAACACCTGGTGCTTCTCGAGAAACCAGGGAGACAGTAATCTGCTGTCTTGCCATAAGCCGAGCATTTTCCTTCTCCAAGGTCACTAGCTCGTCATGGATCTCGGCCTCGAAAGTCAGAGAATCACTGTGGTCTTTCAGGCTTTGAACCTCTCGACGCTGCATCTCCTCGCGGAGTCCTTTAATCTCATTTATCAGATGCTCTGTAACCTTCACATTGTGCATCCTCATGGCATCGAGCAGGTCATTCTCCAAATGCGCCACCATCTCGAGCCTGTGCACATCCGCATGTGGTGAACGCGGAATATAATGGGAATTCCCTCGATTGCTCCTCTGACAACACCATGTGGTGAACGCGGTGAACGGTCCAACTTTCCTGTTCCACCAAAGGAGTATAAGGCACTCACATCAAACCAAATAGAAAGAACACAGAGGACAAAGAAATGGAAAGGAAAGAGATGTTTGCATAAATCTGTGAAAAAGAAAATTAGTTCATTACAACAAAAAGAAATGGTTTGAATGGCCTAACAACTATTACAGAGGGCAGGATTCATACAGCATCACTGCCTTGGAGGGGGTCATTGGAAGGGGCCTGGGAGGCATCCTCGACGGTTCTCTGAACTCCAGAGTGGCTGGTATCAGCAACGTCCTCCTCGGTTTCCTCATCAGTGTCCTCAAGTTCGATACCCATATACTCGTCAGGTACCTCGGGCATAGGGTCTTCCTCACTTGGACCCTTGGCCAGGACAGCAGGAACGTTGCCCGGAAACGAGGCAATCTGCGCAGGGGAACTCATTTTGGACATGGCACCGGTCAAAGCTCCCCACAGAGGAAGCTGCTCGAGGCTCAACCTTGTCAAGACCTTCACCATGGCTTCGTGCATGGTTTTCTTTGGGTCCTTCATCAGGAGCTGCTTGAACCATTTAGCCTTAATTGGCCTATCCTGGTCGAGCCTCTTCAACCCTGCCACGCCCACTCGGTACGCACCACACTTGGTCACAACCAAGTTCATCTCCTCGAGGGCTGCAGCCATTCCCCCTGTGGACATCATTCTATACATAAAGACGGTACACCACTGGTGAAGTTCCTCCTTGGAAATATGCAGGCTGGCAAACGACTTCATCTTCTCGTCAAGCTCATCATATTTGGCCTGCACCTCGATAATTTCAGCCTCCTTGGCGAGCCTTCTCCTCGAGGATAACCATCTTGAATAACGCCTCGTCCCTTTCTGCCCTAGCTGTAGCCAGGTCTTCTCGAAGTTTCCTCAGCTGCACTAAGTAGGCCATCGAGGCTGCACTCATCTGAACCAACATAACATATCAGGGACACATTGACATCAGCAGCACATTTACAACCTAACCTGAAAAATTACTTACCAGTCTCAGGCTGTCAGCTTCATTCAGCTGGGCAGCAAATTCCTTGAGAATAGGACACTCGATTGACGGCGGGTTGCTGAAGGTGTGAACTGCCATAGACTGGCCTCCCTCGAACAGTTGAGGAGGCAGGACTATGGCCTCCCCCTCGAGAGGGCCCTTCCCTTTCTCGACCACAGGAGGAACTATGCTTGGCCCTGCTTCCGGCACAGCTTTCTGAATGGACTCGGTGACAAGGGGCACCGTCTCGACGCTCGGCTGTGCGGTTTCCTTCAAGGGCACATCCGTCTTGGCCTTCTTGGATTTTGCCCTATCGCCCACCTTTACGATCCTTTTCTTCTTTTTCTTATGAGGGGCGGCAGTAACAGTAACATGCTCATCTGAATTCACTATGATAAAAGGATCTTCGTCACCAAACAATCGAGACCCAGCATTGCTTGACAACATGACCTAACAACAAAGAAGAAAAAAGAAGAAAACGATTAGTACCTTGATCTTCTTCAACAGAGATTTCGAGGGGAATTCTGGTTGCTCCCTCGATGATGACTGTATCACCTTTCTTCACGTATGCAGGGGGCACAGAGTATTGAACGTCGTTCAACTTAACGACCTTCGAGTATTTTAGAATTTTCTCCACACCTGCCTGGAACTCCTCGACACACTCTTTATCCTCTTGGGTCCATTCATCTTTTATGGCCCCGAGACCCTCTGTCTCACGGAGATTCCATGGCAGACGATAACTTGCAGACGCCTTTACAAACACAAAGTCCGGTTTCTATTCCGGAGAACCGCCATACGCCTCGACCATCTTCTTCACGCCAGCTCTAAGGCGTCTTTTTACTATATACCAATCCTGGAAAGAAGTCGAGGCCACAACTACTTAGAAAAACTACCTCCACAATATCAATCGAGGTACTACTTTTACATATTGGCACACTCTCGCAAACCCCAGTACAAATGTAATTAAATTTGGGGTAAAACGAGCGAGAGGAGTCCTATAATGTTGAACAATCTCCTCAAACAGGGGGTAGAGGAGAAATCTAAGCCCTAGATGCATAAATCGATCATACACGATAATTCTTCCTCTTGGAGGAGAGTTGGCCCTCTTGTGCCCTAATGGAGCTCTCGCCTCTAAGGCTGAGGGGAAGTCATACTTGGATCTAAGGTTCTCTACCTTATCCACCGAATCTATGGTGGAAACAAAGTCCAAAACGGTTTTTCCTTCGGAATCCATAACCATAATTCTGGCAAGGATCTACTCTGGCTAGAACAGAAAAGAAAACGGAACAAATCGGAGATTCAGATCTAGAAACTTACTATGTAAGGGGGACGTGACCACTCGCCTTTCGAATTATAACTCCCCAGTGTTGTTCAGAGGCTTCAATTTGCAGCTCCCCTGGAAATGGCATCGCCGGGGCAGTATATCGGGTAAAATCTTGAAGATTCCGGCTGGGAAAAGAGATAGGATGCTCTGGTAAAGAAGAGCAAAATGGAGGCTGGAATACTTTTGCAAAGGAGAGGATTTTGCGTTTTTGAAAAGAAGGAAAATGATTAAGTGTTGAAGGGACGGAAGAGTTTTTTTTCCTTAAAAACAAAATTGATTCCCCCACGTTCCTCTAATTATGGACCACGACATGACAGTTATTGCGGGTTTCAAGGAAGTAATGATGTTGAGGCCGCCGTTTGGGGAACGTGCCCGCTAATAACACATAATTGAAAATTTTGGCGGGATTGGGAAACGGGTCGCCTTCCCGGGCCAAGACCTGACCTGCCAGTCCCTCTCGATCCTCCGAGATCGAGGGTTGTGCGTTTGTGTCGAGGATGTGTGGCATGTGGCTTGATGGTTAGCCGAACGAGGGTAGTTATCCACTCTCGGGTGTGTCTCAGGTAATACTTATTTTGTGCCAAGTGTTGTTTGTGTTTACGTCACTAACACGTAGCAGGGGCACTTGACGAGTCCATATCCATCACCGAGACTGGACCGGCCCGCCAAGGGTAGGAAAAGTCCAACCGGGACTCTTAGGGCTGTGTGAACTCCTGAAACCTAGTTGGATTCAGAAATATTCTAGGTAATCTCATGCCTATAAATAGGGTAGCTCATACCACAATACAGGTACGCAATCTACAGCCGAACAAACTACCTTCCTAAACTTTCTAGCAATCCCTTTTACTGAATTAAGCATCGGAGTGTCTACCCTCGGGAGACCCCGAGGCTCTGTTTTGCAGGAAACACTAACCGGAGTTCCACCGTTAAACCAGCGGCGCATATCCGAGCATCGTCATAGCACAACCTATTATTTCGGTATAGACTTTCATTTTTTCTTCCTTTATAGTTTACACTTAAATGTTTAAGAAGATTGAATTAATGTACCACTTTCTAGAAAAAATACATTAAAAATAGTTAGTTTCACTACCAAATATATAGACCTAATTTTCTTGCTATTCATATGTATGAACCAAAGTTTCTTAATTTTGTGTGAGAGATACATGTAAATCAAAATATGATTAATTGAAACATCATGTACAAATTTCTCGATTGTGTTATGTTGATTGTTTTATGTTGTTGTGTTATTCTTCCTATGCTTTGTTGTTTAAAAATTATTTACTAAATGTGAAATAAGACAGAAATTATTGAGTCAAATGGATCACGCTCGATACATTTTCTCGATTTTTCTCTCTTGAGACAAGGAATTTCTTGTCCCAAACTAGACAAAATCACCATCTTTATCAAGTGTAACATATTACTTTAATTCATTAATTAGTTATGATGAACCAGCGATCAACCTACGGGGGAGCCAACTGGTCCTGTTCGAAGCTTTGCAAGTTTTTTCCAAAAATCTACAGAGAAAACTACACCAAAAGGCTCCTATCTTTGGAGGTCAAGTTTGTCCATGAGTCGCCGGTTCCTGAGTACGAGGATGATGAGTTTGAACGACTAGTTGTGCCCCATCGAGAAAGCTTTGTAGGGAAATTTTCATATGGAAGGCACAAGATGGAGGAGGTGCATAATGAATTTTGGAAAATAGGGTTTCATGTTAGCAACACAATTGGCTTACTGAACCCCGGACATGTCTTAATTTTTTTTGACAAGGAGGAATCATCAATGTTATTGGATTCAAACCTTTTGGAACATTGTTGGATTTTCTATGCGCATATTGAAGAGGAAACTATGGTTCATATTTGAAGAAGATTCGCCAATCGTCCCAATATGGGTTTGACTTTATGATCTCCCTGTTGAATAGCTAAATTCGGAGGTAATTTTTTTGATGGCTACTACCTTAAGGAAGCCACTTAAAGTCAATACACAAAGTCTAAATACGACCAGTCCCCGGTTACAAGTTTCTATTTTGAAGGGGACTGGACAAAAGAGTTTCCTAAATCTTTTAAAGTTGGAAAGAAGGTAAGAAAACACGAGCGGATCTTTACGTATGGGCATATTCCCTTTTATTGCTCTAAGTTAAATACAGTAAACTAGGGCACAAAATTGATGAGTGTAGATTGGGAAACATGGACTAGCCACAACCGCTGAAAGAAAAGGAGAATATTGGCAAAAAAAGAGATGGTTGTTGCTAACAAGAAAGGAAAAGGCATTGCAATAAAACCGGCCAAGCCAAATTGGAAGTAAAAGGTCAACAAATCGGAAAATGATCGGGAGACAGATGTGCTGCAAAATGTTTCAACATCCGGCTTAACTGCCAAGGAGATGAAACTATTCCAATTAATTTGAGAGATTCGCTAGCTAAGGAAACTGTAGTTGGTGATTTGGAATCCAAGAAGAATGATCGCCCTCAAAAGAAGTTTATAAGGAAGGGTTCAAGGTTAGGGATACACCAACTCAACTTGCTGCTTCCATAGTGTCCATTGTTGCAAGTCCGACTGCCTAAGAGTCGAATAGATTTGTCCTCCTGGAAAATCGGGACGATTTGAATGTTATTGTTGATGATTTAGAAGAGGAGTGGAAAGAAATTTATACTGAGCAGCTGCATTCCTTAAATACTGAATTCACTGATGCTAACAACAATGCTCATTAATTTGGAGCCAATTAGGGGTGTTGAACGAAGAAGTGACCTTGATCAAGATACGAATAATGATAATAAAGGAGAGATATGGTCTGAAGGAGAAAAAGATGATTTGCAATTGGAAGATCAAGGTCAAGGAGTTATAGTTGTTAAAAGAAAGCATGGTCAGAAGACCAAAGTAGAGCGACAAAAAATGCAAAGTTCATTCTCCCTATGGATGGATTACCAATGAAAACTAGGTAACAAAATTAAAACACTATCTAATGAACTAATGTAATTTACCTTTTATAATACAAGATCATTCTAATGTAGTAATTAAAGAAAACAACTTTTTTTTAATAAATTTTATACACTAGGTTATTTTAGTAGTTAAAAGTTTGAGTTTGACAAATGTCACGTAACTCATATTTCAGTCATCTATAAAACTCTAATCTTTTTTTTTTCTTTGTTTCCCAAAAATACCACCAACCCTTCTATGTAGTTTTTTTATTAAATCATGGAGACTGAAAAAAATGAGTAGGGGTTGCCAAAAGGTGGATATGATGAAAATAACTAACAAAAATAACCTTCAGTTCACATTCTCAAAACATCGGAAGCGTTTGTTCACAAAAGCAAGAGATAGGGTACAAATCTCATTGTTGTGGTCTATGGACCCTAGTCTACTCTTTTGGCTCCCCGAGTGTGAATCAAGTCCTAGAAAACTCCGAGACTAAGGCAACACATTTCATAACATTTTTAGGGCTTTATCGACGAGCCACACCAGGCAAGTAGTAGCTCTAATCTAGTTAGGTTGAATGAAGAACTCATAGCACTAGAAGATCACATGGATGTCGTGAACGTAAGGAACGATGAACTTGCACAGACTTTGAGAGCCAATCAGAATTGTTATTGGTGGCAAGGTCCCATTATTGAGCTTAGCATGGAACATCTCGAACAGCTGAAGATTGCCTATAAGGAAGTAGACAAAACAGTTCAGATTCAAGCACAAAAAGGATTACCTTCAAATGCTAATACATTTTGCAATTTCAAAATCTCAGAACCAAGTGAACCTAATAATGTCGTTTTAGGTAATGAATCCAACCACCACCATTACCTCCAAACATTCATTATCCAGCTACGCCGTAAAGTTCTAATTCTAACTCTTTCAAATGACATCATATCAGTTAAGAATGAAGCCCCATTTACTGCTAATCAGGGACCATCTGGATCTGGTGCTGCTAATTTGGCTTTTCCTTTTGATGATCCTAATGCACAGGGACCATTTAGATTTAGGGCAGCTTTTCCTTTTGGTGATTCCAAATACACTTGGTTGGTGGCCATGAGATCTTTTTGAAATCCTAATAAACTCCCGACTCTTGTGTTTGCATGGTTGGTGTCTTGTATTTTCCCTTCAATATTTTTGTAAAATGTAAATTCTATTGCACTTTCACCAAAACATCCATATATACAACAATATACATATTCCTACTCAGGCTACCAAAAAAGAGGTCTAATTTACCCTCTTACAAGTTTCTGTTCACTATTCCAAACAAAATAACCTCTACATTAGCCTTAGAGCTTGCAAGTAACCCTTCTCCTTGGTTGATAGTTTCTGAAGCTTACACTGCACTCTCCACCTGACTTCAGTCTGAATTTCCTTGATGATCATCTCCACTGCCCTGCACTTCCCATCACGTATTTTTTTGGTTCCTAGCTCTCCATAAATGCACTTTTGCTTCTTTTGACTATCTATACATACAATTTTAATTGATAAGATCTCTCTTTTTACGGAATATGTAATGATATTATTTAAACTGTTTTGATAACTACGAAAAATTATTCACAGGAAAATGTCTTTTTAATTTATTTCAAAGTGTCTAGTTGGCTCATAAAATTACTGTAACCAGTTGACTTTGAACAATAGAAATCTTCCTTTAATTTCTATCTATTGTTGCCAAAAAATGCTTCTACGTCTGGTTTTAATTTTATTGTATGTCTCCTAATTAACTTAATGCTCCCCAATAAAAGAGCTATTCTACACTAGTCTTACAAGAAAAATTGGAATGTCAACTTGTGATTAATTTTTTTATCCTATTAAACAAACAAAAAATTAAGACAATGATTAATTCCACATTTGACAATGATTGGACTCATCAAAGAAATTCGTCTATAAATAGAATGCTATCATTTAAATCTTTTGGAAAAAGAAAACACATCTTTAACGTATGATATATATGTAAATATGTGGGTAGGTAAGCATGTTTGTTGTGAACTTATAAAAAGAAAAAGAGAGGAAAAAGGTACGAAAGATTTGATGAGGTTTCATAGCAATCAATAATGTTTTCTTTAAAACCAGAATATTCAAAAACAATTTGTTTGCATCATATGTAATTATTATCTTCTCAATAGATCTAGATTAATGATAATGTTGTAAAATGAAATGGGTGAGTCATCCTTTTAGAAAACAAAAATTTTTTTTTGATAAATTAAAAAGTAGGTTAATTAGTAATATGTACCAATGTATGGTACATTTTAGTATCAAAAGTGCTCACAACATGTTACTCGTATCAAAACTAGGAAACCATGTACACAATCTATATATTAGATATTCAAAAGTTCAAATTTTCCAAAAAAAATCTGAACTATATATAGAAATCCACCTCATATAAAAATATTTAACCCTGACACAAAAAAATAATAATTTAATACCTGATAAATTATCAAAGAACAATCTCGAAAGGGTTAATTAGTATGTGTAAACGTATAATATTTAAATATATCGCAAATAAACAGCTTCTGGGCCATAATATGGAAGTTTCCAGGGATCTGATTGTTGTAATCCATTAAATTTGTTGAGGTAGTTTCATGCCAGATTTTAACTCTAGCACAAAACAAGTTTCTCTAGATGAGTAACCTCTTTTACTATGCCCAGTTTTAACTTTAGGCCGTAATTCTAAGAAAGTTTGAAATCATGGTTATTTCAAATCACTGCCTTTGAGCCTCTTGGGATTCCAACATCCTAGTTATTTCAAGGGTTCGTACATAATCATTTATACAAAAACTGTCTAGCATTTTGAATACGTATTCGATATTACCACACATTATGACAGTTGCACCAGTGTTTTGTTGGAAAAAATCTAAAAAAAGTATGAGACATCAATATTAATGAACATGAGATTCAGCAAAGTTTAGTGCGGTAGTTTGAGTACGGCCATTATTATGTATCATTAATTTGATTATTGCATTGTCTTATTTTATCTTATTTCATTGGAACAAATTAAATAAACTTTTCGTTATTCATTTGAGAAAAAAGAAGAAGGATGAAATGGATAATGATGCACTCCTTCATACATTAAAATACTCCATTTTAAAACAGATATCGTTGGAAGAATTTTACCAATGGTACTACAATTCCATTGTTCCGTGCGGATGGCCAAGGTCTTAACCTAAGGACAAAAAAGCATTAGATGAATATTCAATTTGATATAGTTAAATAGGAGCATTGTTTTGGTAGTCATTATGCCTGTTACTTTATTTATCTACATTTTGTTTTTACTTATGTATAAGTTTTTTACTCTTCTAAATTTAGAGGTGCCATTGAATTTCTTATTTTCCTCTTTAAACCTTTAATTTTGTAGTGACTCTCATTTTATAGAAAAAAGAAGAATTTTCTACGAATAGATACTCTTTGCTTTTGCTACTAAGACCAACCTTTTTTGCCCTACAAAAATAGTCTTTTTAAACATCTGACAATACTTTAATTATGTCAGGTGTTCATCACATAATTTTTAAAAGCTTAAAATTTAATTGTGACATAAATAATTACACTTTTAGCATATTACATATAACTAGCATTGGTTGGGAATCAAAGTGATTACTAAATTATATTTTTCTATTCTCTTTTGAAAAAAAAAAGGAAATATTTCTCAAAATATTTTTGAATCTGTTATGTTGAGTGATGAGAGTGTTTCTACGTAGCAGTACCACATTGAGTTAGTATATAACTTTGATAAAAAAAAATTTTAAAAAAAAATTGCGCCAAGTTTCTGATATTGAGTCTCTTTTGGCAGCAACTGTTTTAGAAGGGTTACAGGTTTTAGATGACTTACGCCTTTGTGTCAAGTCATGATCAGAACACAACACAAAATTGTTGTTTTTTATTACCTCGCACAATGTTCAAATTCAATAATTTCAAACTTTGGACCAAATTTGCATTTCCTTTGTGATAAGTTCCGTTATACTAGTAAGTGATTTGTTACCAAGGAATGACGTTATTTCCTAAAGCAACGATCGTTAAGATTATTTTCCTTTTAATGTTTAGATAGGCCGCTAATTAGTGTGGATCCCAAATTTTGCCCAAAGGTTTTTATAGTGTATCCTAATTTGGATGTAGTATAAACATTTGTCATTGTAATTACAATTGACTTCATTTACCAGCTAAAAGGAAACAATTACTTCCGCTGACTATTTGAGCAGTTCTATACCAAAAATCTTTGGCTAGAGATAAAATGGGTATGGTCACGTTCAAATTGAAGATAATATGGAGATTAAATAAGACTTGATAATTCACGAGTAATTGAATGTAAAAACTAAGTTAACAATGGTCATTGAGGTCATTTATTCCTTGTTCCTATCATTCCTCATTAAAGTTGAGAAGGATACATCTGTTACATAGATCTTTTATCCAAAACCACCATTCAACACCACTGATGAAGATGAACTAACACAAAAGTAAACAAAAATTATGGAAAAAGACAAACAACAAAAGGCATTTGCCTAGATTCGAGATCATTTGGATTTATATGTTTTTTTAAGTTGCTCAAACACTTCAATTCTCACACAGTCACATAGTAAAAAAGAAAATTTGAGCACGGCTTTCTGCCTCTATTTCTGATTTTTTTTTACTCGTCAACTTGACTCAAGCATAGGGCATGTAACAGAAAAAAAAACATGGGATCATCAACACCTTTATCTCCATTATTAGCGAATCTTCCTAGTTTCTTTCATCAAAGTATAACTAATGCTTCTATATTTTAGCCGAACTAGCTAAGTTGTTATCTTCCAAGTTCATTTTTCAAAAATAGCAACAACCAATCCTCCCAAACCGACCACCACCACATTTTTTCGTAGCCATCTTCATCTTTTTCTTCTTTTACAAATAAGGTGAAATCCCTTAAAGATCTACCTTTAGGTCCACCAATTTTAAACTGATTTGATCTTTTACCAGTTATGACTACCAATCCTTTGTCGTCAAGAACCTATGGAAACAACCCTCATGTCCCCAGCCAAAACAATGAAAGTTTAATATCTGGCCTCTGTGGGAAACCCAAGGCCTAATTTTCAGAATTAGATTCGTAATCAATTTGATACGCCTAATCCTCTTAACGACATACACTGAATTACCAATTCAGTCCAGACCAAATGGCTTCATCATCATTAAGCGGAGAAGGCAGTCATTGGGATGATAGAGTTTCAATGGAAAATAATTTAGTTAATTAGTAAACTAGTATATTCTCATTTTTCGTAAATGAGAAATTCGAAAAAGAAAAGATTTATTACCTAAATAAGTTTTTTCTTATTGGTTAGGTATGCTTTTCTTTTGCCTTCTATTCAAGAAAATGGTATTCAAATAATAACTATTATGATTTTATATAGCAATGAGATTTCAAACAGTATTATAACATGGTCAAAGTGACATTCAACTAAATTTGTTTTTGGACAGATTTTGGTCAAAACAATAGAGTTCTATGAGATTTATACAACTAAATTTTCTACTAAGGATGTTTAGGCTTTTAACTCTCTCTGTATATATCATACTTACCTTGCATGAATCTAAGTCGAAAGAAAAATGCAAAATGAGGGGAAGAAAACGACGCACTAATTATGACATAATAAACATCTGTTTGTACTTTTAAACATATGGCATTTTCTACAAAAAAATTTTAATAAAATGCACTCTTACCATATGAAAAAGTAATTTTCACTCAGATAAACATCAATATCATCTTTCACTCGGATGCTAGCTCAATCTGTACCAACAAAAAGTGAAAATATAACAAATAAAAACTTGTTGATCACTGACAAGATAATGACATAAATGATAGTTTTAAGTAATTTATTAAATACTGCTTGTTGGTTTGATTAATCAGAAGTGATAGAGACAATGAAAAAGTATAGTTTTAACTGGTATATATACACTAATTAATGGCAAAAGTAAAAGTTTAGGGAAAGATATAATTTTTAAGGCAAACTGCAAATAAAATGGGGGGTCAAGACAGTTATTATCTCTTTTCACTACATATTTCTCACTACACATCATTTTCCTTGATCAATATGATTCGAGTTTGAATGATCAGTACAATTTTCAACCCTTCATCTGGGATAGGTTATTTTACACATTGAGGATGACATTACACAAACTAATGCTATCTGTCAAAAGCTTTAGACAATTGGAATCTATAAGTTAAAATTTGATTGGGTAAGATATCTATCAGTGCAAAACTCCTCGAATCTTGTACTCATTTTCATAAGTCTCAGTTGTTGATCATTGCAAATTTTCCTTTTACGACATAAAATTTAGTTTTAAGAAAAATCATCTAAGTTTTTAGTTAAGACAACACCCGATGTTGCAAAATGATCCATGTTTTTAGTTTTAATACATCTATATACTTCAACAAAGTAATAAAAAGAAAAAGAAACGTAATATGGAATAACCTCTTACAAAACTCAATTTGTAAACCTCTTCTTTTGCCTGCAGGTGCAGAACCACATAAATTTTAGTAAAATAATTAATGAAAAATTACCCCCAAAAAAATGAACAGATTTCATTCCTCATACATTGTACGTCACTTCTTTTCAAGTAAACTACTTTTAGTTCCAGCATAATACTTATTGTTAATTACTCTCATCTATTTTTTTTATTCTTTATTATTAAATTCCAACATTACCCATGAATATTTTATTATCCAATGCACTAATTAAATATTCTTTAAATAATTAATGGTTCATTTTGATTAAATGAAGTCTCGTTGTTTTCACCCGTAAAAATCTTAATTTCTTTCATACATATGTGTTTGGTTTTTTCTCTTTTATTTTATTTTCAAAGATATAAAAAATTAAAACTTTATAATTTGGCTAATTCATTTTTTTTAAAAAAATGCCATGCGCATATTTTTGTTTGCAATTTTACAATATATAACAATTTTATAGTATGTATATTATGAATAATGAACATTATTACTGCATAGTTAGGGAAAAAAATATTTCACAATAAAGAAATTTTAAAACTTATAAAAGGATAAATTGATAAAATATACACAATTCAGCATTCATATCAGCATTTTTATCAAACAAGAATAGTTCATTAAATATTTCATTTCAGACATTAAAATTTAAATGTTAAGCATTAAGAGGCATTCAACACTTTTATTTCAGCATTAAGTATTCAAAATTAAGAACTAATTTTTATAAACAGGTCCTAAGATTAAAAACATATTATTCGTCCTAGTGGTGGGTAATGAATACCAAAATAGAGGGACAAAAAAAGAAAAAAGGAAGAAGCAAAACATCAAATTCCTGATGCAACTGCATTAATTAATTGTTTCATGAGTCTTACAAAATTTCCTCCACACAGTTCATCTTTAATTGAATCCTTTTCTCGGCATCAACATTATCCTTCATGCACCTTCAACTATAAACCATTAATTGAATGCTTCAGAAGTCTAAATATAAATAAGTAACAATTTAATGAGCAACAACATTAGATAACCAGAAAAAGATGGGGACATCTTCAAAGAACCAAGATGGTGTGATTAATTCTGACGAGTGACCATGATCAAGTTTTAGACGGTGAAACTATCAACCTTTGCGAATGATAATAACTTTGCATCAAAAGAAAAAACAAATCAATTAGGGACGATAAAATATATAGAGAGAGAACACTGATTAATGAGAAATGGCCCATTGGCCAAAAGTCACAAAACTGTCAAAAGGCCCCCGCAACTACATGCGAGCCTAATACAAAATCATTTGGGCGGTGAAGTTACTCTGTTTTTCCAATTTTGTCCCGTAACGGATAAGTCTTCACGTCAAAAGACAAACATGCCCTAATCTCTCTCCGTACGGAACTCATCCATTTAGTTTAGTATTATATAAGGCATCATTATGCCTCAATCGCTTTCCCCTTTTGTTGCGGCGAATGTTTGAGAGTGTCCGGCGGCTTTACATTAGGTAACCCATTCCTATTTCGACTTTTCTTCTTCTTTATAATTTGATTCTGCCTTGATAATCAGACTCCTTTAATTCCCTTTTTCCTTTCTTTCTTCAGAGATTAAATTCCCAGGTTAATTACTCGTCACCACTTCCGCCATGCCGCCGCGTGCCCACGGCCCACAGGATCGGCGTCGCAATGGTATAGCATGCTTCCATTTACTAGCTCATTTAATTTCTCTTCATTTTCCGTTCTGGGTTTTCTTTTTATTTTTTAGCAAGAGAAAGGTGACTGATTTGATTTGACTGTGGGTGACGGACAGAGCCGACTCTGTGTGAAGAAGTGATTATTCAGCTGAAATCTGGAATGAATAAAATTGTAAGCTTTTTCTCCGTTTTCTCGGCCGTTCAAAACAAAGCAACCCCCTTTTTATGGTTTCTTTTTCCCGAATTTCCAATGAATACAAATTAGTTGAATCCCCACTTGTTTGATTTTTTTTTTCAGCTTATGTTGGTGATCTTAATGCTTTCCACTTATCCAGAAGATTTCGATGCTTTAGCTGTGGTAAGGCTGTAAAGTTACTACCGCGTCATCTTAGTTCGGTTTAAATTGTCATTTTCTGGGGGAAAACTATAAAATTGAATCTTTTATGATGTATATTTTGTTGCAAATAGATATCTACAATCCTTCAATCTGTGCGAATGGCTGCTTTGATGGAGAAGATAGAAATGTCGCCGGAAGTCTATGACTATGTGAAATCAACTGCTCAAGTTTTCAATGTGGCGTGCCTAATGCAAAGGACCGCATTTTACGAGGGCTCTGTTACTGCAATTTTCCAGCCTGCCAGCAACCTGTTCTACTTCATTTTCATCGCTGTTTTTTTCCTTTTCGTTCTGTGAATCAATGGCTTAGGGTAGTCATTGAATTGGTGGTGATCTTTTGATGACCTATTTGGGGATATGTAAATGTTTAATTTCTTTTTCATCTCTCAACCAATTTTGCTGTCGGGACAACTTAATTTAGGACATAACATCTGCTTTTTGAAGTTTTTCAATTCTTCCTTTGAGTGCATTTTTGATTCCTTTAATTTGGTTTGCTATATTTGGAATGGCTATACAACTGTTTGTTTGGTTTAGCAGTCCTCACAGCGAACAACACGCAAAACACACACAAACACACATACGAATGGTTTATAAACATGGGTTATATGTAACTTATGTATAGGTGATCACAATATGGTCATCCCTTTTCGGTAATCTACTAATTTGATATCCATTTTAGTATCCACAATGAAAGTGCTAATTGGGTAAGGTGTGACTTTTTCTTCTGTAGTGAGCCAACTAACTGATTTCATGTTATATATTAAGCTGCTTTGAATTGTCCAACTTTGGACATCAAGGAAAATTTAAAAATTGGTGGGGATGAGAATTTACATAAATGTTTGACTTTCAATTAAAAAGCTGTTTTGAATTTAATTTTATAGAATCTGATACTTCCCCGTCCTAAATAGATCGTAATCTTTGTTATATACTTTTTTAACAAAATTAAAAATAAAAATATTTTAGAGCCTAAAAGATATATGTTGTATTAATTATCCACTAATGTGATTTAACATAAATATATGTTGTATTAATTTATTTATTTTGTTTCTTTTGTACTCCCGCCACATATTATCGAACCCCAGAATATATTGTCACGACTTACAATTTATTTATTTTTCATATAAATGGAGGCAAAGCCTATATCATATGATTACATTTCTAGACACCCCAGTTTCATCTTGTTTAAAATTGAAGAAAATCATTTGAGATTCATGTACCATGTCTAGACAAAATATATGAAAAATACTTAGTTTCGCTACCAAATTCATAGACCTAATTTTATTGCTTTTAATATGTATAAAACAAAGTTTCTTAATTTTGCGTAAGAGATAAAATTATCCAAACATGATTGATTGAAAGATCAAGTACAAATTTCTCGATTCTGTTATGTTGATTGTTTTATGTCGTTGTGTTATTCTTCCGTTGCTTGGTTGTTTAAAAGTTATTTATTAAATGTGAAGTATGACCGTAAATATGAGTGAAATGGATAATTGTTCTATACAGTTGTCACGAATTTTCTCTCTTGACACTCGGAACTTCTTGTCCCAAGTAGGATAAAATCGTCATCTTTTCCAAATGTGACAGTCTTTTAAATTGTTAAGTAGTTTCGATGAACTGATATAGGTATATTACGTAAGTTCTTATGTTGTTAACTAATTGTCAACCTCTATCTTAGATCATATTCGTTCAACTAAATTTGACTAATAGTTACAAAGACTGGAACCCAATAAAGCAAAAATACAAATGTAAACTTTAACTAAGGGATCTATATTCATAAAAAAAATGACTATAAGAAGGAGTAGACCACAAAAAAAAAGTAAGAAAAAAAGACGAAGGGCACTACAGCTTCTTAAGTTATAAAAAACATTGTATCTCATGTCATGGTCAATTCTTTTACTTCATTTTCTAAACTATTTCATTACAAAAAAGTTCATGCTCCCTAAATGTTATCCTTTGACTAATGTAGGCTGGATTACCAATCAAACTAGGTAACGAATTTAAAACATCGTCTAACTAATGTAATTTACCTTATGTAATACAAGATTCACATCTTCTAATGTAATATACCTTACTAAAGTTCTTCGTTTTCACCTTTATGTTTTCCTAAATGAAGGTCGCAATCGAGTAAGTTTTAGTATATATGTTATATAAGAAGATGACACCTTTTTAAGATTACGTTTTAAACAGCTCATCTTTTTTTCTTCCTTATTTGGACTACCTATACATACAATTTTAATTGACAAGACATCTATTTCTACCGACTATAAAATGGTATTAATTAAACTGTTTTCATAACTATGAACAATGATTAACAAGAATATGTTTTTTGAGTTTATTTCAGTGCGCCGAATTGGCCGATAAGAATACTGTAATCAGTTTTTTTTAACAATACAAATCTTCCTTTAATACCTATCTGTTGTCACCAACTAATTTTGTCTACTTTTAATTTCATTGTATGGCTCCGAATGAACTTAATGATCCTCAATAAAAGGGCTATTTTGTACTGGTCTTTCAAGCGAAATAGGAATGTTAACATGTCAATTAGTTTCTTTATCCCGACAATAAAAAAAACTAAGACAATAATTAATTCAACAATTAACAACAATGGACTCATCATAGAAATTTGTCTGTGTACCAATGCTATTATCTGACTAAATAAATGTATTTTGTTTTTTGAGAAAAAGAAACAACAACTATAATGTATGATATATGTGGTATAGGTCAATATATATATATATATATATATAGATATGTGGGTATAGGTATGCATGCTTGTTGTGAACATATAACTAAAAAACAAGGAGAGGAAAAAGGTTTGAAAGATTTGATGAAGATTCATACATAACAATTGGTACTGTTTTCTCGTCATATGTAATTCTTTTCTTCTCAAGAGATCTGGAGTAACTTTAATTATTTAAAATAAAATGGATGAGTCATCCTTTTAAAAAACAAAAAAAACATGGGTAAATTAATAAGTAGGTTAATTAGTAATATGTATGAATGCATGGTGCTATTTAGTATCAAAGTGTTAACAACATTTTACTTGTATCAAAACTGTGAAACCTTAAACACAATCTATATATTAGATCTATAAAAGTTCAAATTTTCCAAAAAAATCTAAACCGGTATATAGAAATCCACCTCATATACAAATATTTAACCCTGACACAAAAAAAAAAATTAAATACCCGATAAGTTGTAATCAAATAGAAAACTCAAAAGGGCCAGTATATGTGGCAAATAAACTGCTTCTTGGGACAAAATTTGTTGTGTCCCATTTGTTGACGGAGTTCCAACCTAGACTTTTAACTCTACTGAAAGACAACTTTCTCTGTATGAGCCGCTTACTATACCCAGTGTTTGCTTTAGGCTATAAAACTAAGAAAATTTGAAATTATGGTGAGATTTCCATCTACTGTAGCCTCTTGAGATTCAAAGTTTCAAACGTCATAGTTACATCAAGGTTTTGTATTTTAATATGTATCCGATATTGTCGCACATTGTGATAGTCGCACCAGGGTTTTGTTGGGAAAAATATCAAAACATTATGAGAGCTAAATATTAATGGAGATGAGATTCTGCAAAGTTTAATGTAGCAGTTTAAGCGCGACCATTATTATACATCATTAATTCGATTATTGTACCCTCTTTATTTTCTCTTGTTTCATTGTAACAAATTAAATAAAGTACTCGTTATTCATTTGTGAAAAGAAAAGGGATGAAATGAATATTGATGCTCTCCTTCATATATCAAAGAATATACTTCATTTTAAAATAGATATTGTTGGAGGAATTTCCCCAAGGGTACTACAATTCCATTATTCCTGGCTAATGATCAAGTTCTTAACCTAATGACAAAAGAGCATTAAATAAATATTAAGTTAGATCTAGCTAAATAGGAATGTTCTTTTCGTAGTCATTCTGGCTGTTACTTTATTTATTTACATTTTTTTAAACTAGTGTAGAAGTTTTTTACTCTTCTACATTTTGCGGTGGCATTAAATTTTTGGTTTTCCTCCTTAAAACTTTATGTAGTGAATTTTGTTTTATTAGAAAAGTCACTTCTGTGAATAGATACTCTTTCCCATTGTTGCTAAGATCTACTTTTTCTGGTCCATAACAATAATCTTTTTATACATCTAACAATTGTTTAATTATGTCAAGGGTTCATGGCATAAATTTTAAACTTTTACAATTTCATTGTAACATACATAAATACAGTTTTAGTATATTAAATATAACTAGCATTTGTTTGGGATCAAAGTGATTACATCATTTTACTTTTTCTTTTCTTTCTAACAAAAGCAGAAATATCTATCAATTTGTCATGTTGCGTGACAAGAATGTTACAACTGAGCGTAATCTCATTGATTTAGTATATAAGTCTGACTAAAAAATAAAGTTCCACCAAGTTTCTGATATTGAGTATCTATTGGCAGCAACTGTTTTGGAAGGGTTAAAGGTGTTAGACGACTTACCCCTAGGTGCTAAGTCATGATTAGAACACAACACAAAATTGGTGCCTTTTATTACCCTGGAAAATATTCAAAATCAATAATTTCAACCTCGACCAAATATGCATTTTCTTTGTGATGAGTTCTGTTATACTGGAAAGTTATTTTTTCTCAAGGAATAACGTTATCTTCTGAAACGATGATCATTGAGATTAGTTTCTTTCTGACGATTTGAAATGAAGATCATTTAGATTAGCTTCCTTTTGCGGATTAGATACGCTGCTAACATCAATGGATTCCAAATTTTGGCCAAATATTTTTATATTGTCTAATTATTTGGATGTGGTATAAACATTTGTCATGGTAAGAAATTGACTTCCTTTACCAGCTAAGTAGAAAGAATTGTTTGCACAGACTCTCTCAGCAACTCCATATCAACAGTCTTTGGTTAGAGATAAAATGGGTATGGAAATTAACTAAGTCTTGAAGATCCATGATTAATTGAATGTAGAAACTAAGTTAAAAAGGGTCATTGAGGTCATTTCTACCTTGTTCTTATCATTCCTCACTAAAGTTGAAAAAGATGCATCCATTACGTAGATTTTTTTTCCAAAATCACCATTCAATACCCCTGATGAGTTAGAAGATGAAGTAACACAAAAGTAAACAGCAATTATGGGTTAGAAGATGAAGTAACAAACAACATCGGGCATTTGCCTCCTTCTAGATGATCTGGATTATAGGTTTTATGAGTTGCTCAAATCCTTAAGTTCTCACATAGTCGCACAATGTAAAAGAAAACTTGAGCACGGCTTTCTTGCTCAGTTTCTCACATTTTTTTGAGTCGTCAACTTGACTCAAACACAGGTCATATAAAAGGAAAAAAATGCGACCACCTCCATCATTAGAAAACCTTCCTAGTGTTTTTCGTTAGATTACCACTGATGTATCTAAATTTGACTCGAAT